TGATAGTATATATATATATATATATATATATATATATATATATATATAATCTTCAGAAATATGGGTATCAGTTAAGAGAACACCTGGAGCCCATGAAAAGAGAATATGTTTAAAAGGTGTATATTTCGAAGACAACAGTCTGAAAACCTGGTGGCATTATCAGTGTGACTCTCGAGAGAGATTAGACTGAAAATATTGGTGTCACTTTTATGTGAAAATGGAAAAGATAATCCAAACCAACAAAATTAAGAGGCATCAAACGATTTTCGAGAAATGAGGGTGGCAGACTGAGCCAATAGCATTCACCAAAATTATTCATGTGCGGTCCGCATCTTATATCGATCGGCTAGATTTAGTCGACTGACAAATCCGACATTTAGAGATCAATTAGCAAACTGATTTAATTTATTGTCAGGTCTACTTGTTCAGTTAAAGAAGAAATTTCGACCGCATGCCCAAACCGTATTGACAGCGTTCGGTCAATTTGGGTGACTGGAACAACTCATGGTAGATATTGTTTCACGGACTGTTTTTGGTTCTCTCTGGTAATTTTAATCGTTCAGCTGTAACACCCTTCCGGTGCCTAGCTGCCACGCCATCCGAGGGAAGCACGAGGGCTGGGATACTGCCAGGTTGCCCAAGCCTAGACAGGGGAAGTCGAGAGGCGGCGGTTGGGTTCGAACCACGAACCTCCCGGTCTTACCTTCGCGCTCCTACCACTTGAACCATCCCGCTCTCTTAGTTCTCCCTAATATGGATTAACCAGAGCAAAAACGGGAAGTCATTCTCTCGTGTGTGATTTTCTCTCTAAAATGAAAACACTATACACACGTGCACAAAAACCGAGTACCAGGGCGTCCACCACAAGTTGGCGCACATTCTCACAGACAAATAGCCTAACAAATAAGTGAGAAAACTTACGGATGCATCTCATCCGGCTTTTGAAAAGAAGAATGGAGGCCGTAGGCGACCAGAATCTGTTTGGTGCACAAAAAGAGAAACGGGAAGCAATATATTGCCAAATAATAGGGTATGACAAATGGCATTACCATCACTGGCAACAATCCAGCAGTACTACTCACAGATGCTCAAATGCGATGGAAGCATGAGGGAAGAAAGCCCCAGTAAGGTGTGGAAGGAAAGACTAACGGCACGGTCTTCGAGAGTCGTTAGGGAAAACGGTCCGGAATGTGATGCATATCCCTTTTAGTAACACGAAGATAAACACATCTGGTTCGACGAAAAGCGTCACATTGTCGTGAGGGTCGGACTTCAGTGCTGGAATGATCCTGCGGCCTACACTGGCTGGAAATCAGTTCCCCAAGGTTCACCCGTACCCGACGAAGAGCGGCGAGCCCCATACTGCGAGAAATTGTATTACGAAACGGTCTGCTGCGATGTGGGTGTTAAGGCAGTAATGCGTTTCCTACAGGCGGCCAGCATTTCCATATCTATGGTAGAAGCGATGCCACCTCCCCTCAGAAAGGTTTAGAAGAGGTTGGTCCTAGATACCGCACACTCCAATCGCCCAGCGGTTGACCGTGCTCATCGACGCATTATTCAATACGGTCGAAATGGCTTGAAACCAAAGAATCCGGTGCTACTCAAAAGGCATCTACTGTGCGCGGCCGCCTTAGGAGTCGGACAGGTATGCCTTGCTCTCTGTGCCCGGGGGTCAGGCCAGCCATCCACAGCCATCAGTCGGCTTATTGAGTCGTTAGATCCGGGAAGGGTGCTCGAAACACTAACAACCACTACCCCGTGGTTTCACGATTAACCCACTTACGGGAAGCACTTTCGTTCAGTTTTGGAACAGCTTTCACGTACTCTCAAACTTACTGACCTCCACCATTTCCTGAAATTTCTGATTCCACCACTCCTCTCTGACCACACACAGAGCAATCGTCCAATCGATCGCCTAAATGAATGGTACTCTGTACCCGAAGGGATAGAGTCACTAGCATGAGGAGATGAAAGCAACTATCCTAAGATCCGTGTAAGACTTTGGAAAGGACACACCATTCAAGTTGCGATCAATACCCTAAGAGAAGGTCGCTCGTAAAACACTGCACTGTAAGCTCATGATTCGATTTCCAAGGCTTTCCTACTGCGAAATGAGGGACAACAGGAAAAATGCAATAAACATCTGCGGCGTACTAAAACCTGATCTGAATCAACTTAGGTAATCCAAAATGATCGGAAATGTGGCATCAGCACCTGGCGCAGACTGGTTCAGCTGACTACAAGGCTTCTCAGTGGTAAGTGGATTACAGAAAGCGTTCAGCTGCATCACCCTTCCGGTGCCTAACTGCCACGCCACCCGAAGGAAGCACGAGGGCTAGGATACTGCCAGGTTGCCCAAACCTAGACAGAGAAAGTCGGGTGGCGGAGGTCGGATTCGAACCACGAACCTTCCGGTCAGTAAATTCGCGCTCTAACCACTTGGGCCATCTCGCCCCAAGTGGATTACACAGATACGATGACTTCGTCCACTACATTTAAACCCAAGGATTCCGGGAAACAACTAGCGATCAGTACAGAGTTGCAAGAAACACTCAACACTGTCACTGCACATTGCGTCCAGTCGCCATCAAGAAGTTCCGTCAGTGCATTTAATTCTCGACAAAAGGTGGGCTCTGATGAATCAGACCTAATTAGTTGGTGCACGAACGGACACGAGAAACAAACAGCTTTCAGTAGTTCGACCAATGCGAGCTTTTACCGGGGATGGGCGACACAAAGTCCGTTGTTTGTAGTTATCCAGTCGACTAATGAGGTTTCAGCTCCCGAACCGGTACCAACCCATCACAACCTGCTGCAGCAGTCGCATGAGTACCCGAAGTTTGTGGTCGATAGGCTTTAGATAGAGAGGGTGCCGTGAGATAAACAATTTGGATCTATTATTCGAACCTGCGATGCAGCAGATCTCAATAGATAATTTGCAAGAGTACGCCCGATTTGAATAAAACTTCCCACAATGAAACAGAAGAACGACACTCGAAAGGCAAACCGGGAGGCGTGCACGCTGGCGTGCAGTATAGCTGGGATCTAAAGACAAGTGATTACCAGGAAGGAGGTAAGTGTTGTTGTGGTAAGAGTTGTTGTTGTTGAGGTAAGAGTTGGTCATGGAGAAACATGGGAGACTTCACAGGTCGGTTGTTTTCGCCGAGCTGTACGTAGCGAATAAAACGGCCTGGCTGATGTTACCACTAGACAACCGATGTGGCCTGTCGTGTTAGTGACCCTAAGGCAGCGGTGCTCGGTGTAAGATTACTAAAGTGGTAATGATCTTGAGGAACAGATCAATCAGCACATTTATTCCAAGCCCCAACCCGTGGGGATCAATCTGGCAGCAGACTGCGGATGTTGAATGGGCATCCTCCCAAAGAGGCAATGGCAGCTTAAAAACAGTACCTGTTTGGAAGAGGTATCAGCGATCTCGCCATTGCCAAAATATCACAAATCTCATGACTGTGGGTTTTGTGATGTGGACTCACTTGCCCAGTGCTAGCATATAAAGAAAACGAAAAAACATAGGAGATACTCATTAAGTCCAATGTGAGGCGGGATCGATTAAATTACTGAAGGTTAGCAGGGCCGTATTCATACATTTGATGGTTAGACAATCGATAGTATTGAAAAAGACCTGCCTGGTTGAATGTGTCGGCAATCGAATGCATTACTTCAGAGAATATACTCTTTGAGCCCGTGTACCACCAGGCGATTGCTTTGGCTGCGACATTCAAGGAATTCCTATGAGACAAAGGAAGAGATGACATATCAAATGAAAAGACGAAGTCATTGATAGACAGAGGTAACGTGTGGCGTTTGTCCACTCGTTCTGGCTATGCTCTTGCCAGATGAGTTAGTGGATGTGAGAAGAAACCTCCATAACTGCTTTCTGGGGATGTGTTTAGTTAGGTGCAGTGCAAGGCATGAGGCGGAGCTAACCTGAGCACCTTATGTGAGCCGGGACCATAGTTTATGTCGACATTTCCGTCAATTCTTATTGTTCCAACTCCATTAAAAGCACTGTCTATGTCGGTATTCTACGTCATAAGTTGGCTAATCAGGGAAATCACCACAGCTTCCGGCTTTCCGATCGGTCGGTTAGCTCTAAAAGAGTGCAGGTTGCTATGGTTACCTCGACAAGTCAAGAGTATTGTCACAGTCGTTTTTCACCATTGAAGATACATTCACCGGGTGAGCGGTCGGAGGTATAAGTGTTCTCGCAACTATTTCAGATAACTGTGATATCCCTCTTGTGTAGAAGAATGACGCTTGGTTACCGTAAGCTGGCACAGAAATCGACCACTGTGATACTTTTTGAGGAGATGAAGATTGGAAGAATGGAGATGATTGGAAGAATGATGTGCGCATACAACGGTTTGTGGAAAATACAACGTAATGGGAGTTGATTGCAGTTCTCCTCGGTTGGCATTGTGTAAACAAGTGTCCCGAGCAGCCCCAAGCTTAACGTGGGGAGCTGTCTTCGGAGACTCAGCTTGGGGAACCAAACTGATGATTACGAGGGTCCTCAGGTTGTGACGTTTGCTGCAAAACACTTGGAACCATCGACCTGACGTCGGTACTAGCCATTGTCTCGTTGATGCATATCATCATGATTTTAGGCTATTATTTTTACCACATGCAAACGTTAACTATAGATGATAGGAACACTCGCAATCAGAGGACCTCGGTATAAGGGGTTAATAAAATCCCAACATAAAACATGACGCGCCTAAAATAGTTTGCTGAGATGCATCTTAAAATCAGTCTCCAAAAATCTATAGCGGTAGTGTACAATGGGTGTAAGAGAATTCCAAGGTCGGGTGGTAGGGTGAAATGATGAGATGATCGGTTCGAGAACGAGTAAGAGTGACTTGATGGGGCTATTTAGAAGAAGGAAAGCAAGCAGTATAGCTTGACATTCGAGAGATGTGGACGACGAGCGTTGTTTCATGACGGAACTATCCGTATTGGTAGCGACAGAACAAGGATGGGGATGCTATATCTTGATGGAGCGAGAGACGAGAGATGAATATCATTGATCGAGGAAGGAATGGCAGTTAGACAGGTAGCCCTGTTCTTAATATGAGCTAAGAGAGGACGTCATAACCTGAACGGTATCCTACAGCGGGGAGAATTTGGGAGCGCACAAGATGACACTCTGCTTCACAACCCGCCTGATCCACGTCATAGAACTATTTGGGATTGTGTGTCGAAGTGCCCAGGATACTCATCTCGCCAAGGACTACTTATCAGCGGGGTGGAAAAAAATCCAGAGGCACAATTGTCGTTGTGAGTAGCAAACATGACTAGAGGCGAAATACCGGGGACTCGAATTAACTACATCATGCGATGAAGGATTGGGAGTATAGAGCGAAGATGCCAGGGAACTGCAAACAACCAAGCTCGGAAGGGGTTGAAATTTCAGTTCCTGTTGGGAAAACTATGGAATGGGGTCAGAAAATTGCGAATCGAGTCAATATCCTTCTTCAAGCCGCGAATGATGTAGAATAAACATGGGAAGCAGTTCGATTATTCACGCAACCCATCTCGCGGATATGGAGTGACAAACCACGAAAGGCTTGCATAAGCTCACAAGTAAAATATCGACCAGTAATGGGATATTAGTCATTCTGAGATGGGTGGGCAGGCGTGTCGTATACCTTCATCGTGAAAGCACTTGTGAAAGCACTTGAGAAACCTTTGAGACGGAGAGAGATGTGGCCGCTTTAGAAAGGTTTAGTAAACAGCAATCGCCTGTTAAACTTTTCTGAAACGGTATCCTCACACTTAATGCAGTTCCAAGGGGAGCATGACAGTAATCCCAAAGTATCTTGCAAAAAACAACCCGTTATCAAGTTAGGTGTTCGAAAGGGCGTCATACCTTTGTTTTAAAGCCTAAAAAGTCCCATCTTTCGGGTCATTGTCCTTAAATTCGCACAGGAAATTTGATATTCCTGCCCACCCTTCCAGGGATTTTACCGAGTCCTGTAATAAAATGCCGGAATGTTTTAATGGACTACGGGACTTCATCCCATCCGAATAACTGAAAGAAGTATGGCCTGCAGTGTTAGGCCTTCAACTGACGCTTATTGACGGACCTATACGACCGGCCAACAAAAAGAGAAAAAATCCGTTTAACTTCGGAACCTGAAGTTCAAAGGTAGTCAGGAGAGGATGACTCGCCAGTCAAAACAGAATGGCGCAGCTGTACCAATAAGAAACCTTTTGATCTCCTGAGGTTCCGAGGCACCAACACTCAACGGCTTTAAAAGAAAAATAAACGGCTGCTCGTGTGATGTTACATTAAAAATAGGCGAGGCGATCCATTTGGCTTGCATCGTACATCACAGCTGTCACTTCTAAACCCTAGATAGAAGGAAACCAGACACGGACACACTGACACGACTATTGTGATAAGTGTCTTTAGATAGAGTAGGATACAGTGGACTGCTTGCTAACCCACGGACCCGATAGTAAAATCCATGTGTCCCGAAGAATGTCCATCCTCTGGCGGGAAACCAGAGAGGGTTGTGCACCGCCCAGGGTCACTTGGTTGTACAGCGAGTGATCTCCAGATTTCTACTGATAAACAAAGACAATTGTAGAGTCAACTCAATAGTTTCATCAAGACAATTTCTAAAACACAATCAGGGTGACCTGAAATGAAAAATGCCCGATGGTGGACATTGTGAACACCTGTTTTGTAGCCCCTATTCTGTTAAATTTACCTCAAAATGGAAACGTTCATTCATGCAAAGTTAACTCATGCAGTCCACAGCAAGGCTTTGCGAACATGCCTGCCGGCGTAAAAAGTTGTGCGCATCAGCCGAGTCACATGACTTGTGGCAAGCCTATAGGCTCCTCAGGTTTCGATCGAACTTATGCACTAATTGCACAGTTTGTAAACAAATGTGTGAAAAGCTTCAAATACATCCCTTCATTAAAAGAAAGGATGCGGAACGAATCACAAATCATCTGATTCACGGCTTATTCTTCTGAGATCATGCCATCTAGTTTCAACGCAGTTCCTAAACCACCAGCCAGAGCAAGGTGTCTTTGAGGAGGCGAGGTGACTCAAGTGGTTAGAGCGCGAATTTATCGACCGGAAGGTTCGCGGTTCAAACCCAACGTCTGCCTCTTCACTTCCCCTGTCTAGGCTTGGGCAACCTGGCAGTATCCCAGCTCTCGTGTTTCCTTTGGGTGGCATGGCAGCTAGGCACCGAAAGGGTGTTACAGCTGAGCAGTATAGCTTTCCTATGGTGAGAAACGAATGAACATGAAGATGAAGCGAGAAATCCAAAATGTCTAAAAAAAAACACCAGCACTAGGTGGAGATGGCTGAATACAATCCCTGTTCGCGTCCACCAAAATGTACTCTCAAGGGGCCATATGATGGTCATCGCGAAGGGTGGATTACATCAACGATACCCGGCTATCTCGTGGCCATTCCCATACTTTGTTGCCAATATATCTTTTGTCTAGCTGTTCAGCTAAAGAGCCACTTTCTCTCTAGGTGTAAATAGCGTGATAAAGTGCTGAAACATAATACGACAAACCGGAAAAATGGCTGAGATGTGGAGTGAAAAAAACAATGAAAACGGCCACGGCTGAAGTGTGAACTGCTACAGTATCCATGGGTAAATGAGCGGACGAGCACGTGAATAAGGTCGAGAATAACTTACACAGCGATCGCAAATAACACAACACGGCCGGGACCAGTTCGAAAAACGCTTCGTTGGCGTTCCACATGGAGCTGTAGAATAAAGGGAGATAGTAAACCCGGTCAAAGCCGACTTCGGAGCAACGATGATATACTGCACACTGACACTACATAACGTATACAAACCCATATTAGGTTTGCATCGACGAGTGAAATGGCTGCATAAAATCATCACTTTTTATTTACTCCCAAAACCAATGCAAGTGAGAAATTCAAGAAGCACGAGCACCGGAGAGGACCAATGAGAGGACATATTTCCATCGCCCGCAAGAGAAGTAATTACACCTGGCTCTCAGTGATGATTATCAAGTGAGCATGCAAATGGGCCAGAGTCACAAAGATATGACGTTCGCCAGCACAATTAATGGGGACATGGATGGGCTATATAAAGAGCATAATAACGCCACAGAGCACTGAGGATTCCACGGCTATCAGGCTAAGCGGGCTCGATGGTTTACGCATGAAGTTATCACCCTGGACGTTTGGTGCCGATTCAGGCTCGTTGGGTTGCTCCAGAAGTTGTATTGAAGAAAGCCAGCTCAACAGTTCTTTGCAGTGTAGTGCCCACCATTCGATTGTGTAAATGAATGCCCGTTCCAATAAGCCCAAAAACTGTTTAGCTGAAACCTGTCTACTTTTGGCCAGGAGAACGGATCAACTGACACCGGGAGTGGATGAACCCCGCAGCGAATGCCCTCCTCATCCTCAGCGTTCCGCAATCCTTCAGGCTCGCGATTGTCCGGCGTTTGAAGCGTCTGTGTGGCATCGTGGGCGCAACCTGCGGGAATTGTTTTTCAGGTAGCAATAAGATCCGCTAACATCGACGGTATCCGGTGTAGATTTGATCGAATAGGATGGTTTGAAAAAAAGCAGTTGTAAAGGCTGACAACATAGCTTCTATCTTGCTTCCGTTCAAAGAGTAAGTAGCCTGGGTTACCAAGGTGATTGTGCGACTTTATTAGCTTTGTAACAATAGTACATTAATGTCGCTGAGCTAATAAGACTCGTTGAATCACCCTGCTTCATTGTGCGTAATCTTTGTGGAAAGCGAACTCATGATCCCTCTCGCACAGTGACAGCATCGCAGCCAATATGTGCACCACACAGAAGGAACGGCAACCTTTAACTGGAGCTCTCCATCCGTAACTAACGGCTACGATTTGCTTGTTGGTGGCATAAGCACCTGTGCTAAACCCCCGTTCAGCTGTAGCACCCTTTCGGTGCCTAACTGATATACCACCCGAAGGTTGCAAGAGGGCTGGGATACTGCCAGGTTGCCCAAGCCTAGACAGGGGAAGTCGAGAGGCTAACCAAGAACATACGACGCTCAAAGCACAACCGAAGAAGTCGCTGTCCGCTATCTACAACACAGACATGCTTCTTTCGGGCGTAGTCTTCCGCCAGGATAAGGCTATCGGTCCCTCATGCTGAATGAAGTATTTGTGACAGACGTCGATGTCGGGGGATATGCCGACACGATAGACACTGCTTCCAACATCGACCTGCACTTCGTTTAATCGGACAGTAACATAGCCTTTGACTTAAAACTGTGGCCTACAAGGCAGTGGGGAAATGTTTGGGCAGCCTAACCGGCTTCAAAGATCGCGGATAGGAGATCTCACCAGTGTGCGCGGAGGATTTGTAACATTTTCGGGCCTTTGACTCGAAATCATGCACAAACCGACTGGAACAAGCAAACTCGCATCATCAATCATCAACGACAGCATGACATCAGTGCTCAACACCAATGCTTCACTGCCGTACAACCATGACTTATTTGAAAGCCTTATTGTAAAGAAAAGAATAAAGGTGGATGGGGGAGGGACTTAGTGCTAGCTTAACACAATCATTCCGAGGTGCCTACACCTCCAGACATTCATTCAGGCAATCTGGACAGAAACTGACAACAAGAACGCCACTGACATCGGTTGGCAGCCATATCTTGTAGTGTCTCCAACCAGGCAAAGTGAGGATCACGCGGTCCCCATCCTGG